AAGTTCTGAAATGTTATTTAGAATYAGATTTCATAAATGATGTTATAATTTTATAAAATGTTGTTTAGAAAGAAAGATTTTAGAAATGATTTGAGAAAGTTAGAAAAGTTCTTAGAAAGAAGAAAAGAAGAATTTTAAAACGGTTTATGAATTGAGAATATTATTCAAAAAGAAGTTTTTAAACCACTATGTTATTGTATCCAAGTGATTACTCGTATACTATATGAATGTGTTTCTATAGTATACCTAAATAGAAAGGTCTTTGGGACCATTCGACTCCGCACGTTGAGAGTATTCTGCTGTGTGTATTGAGATTACTCTGTGCTAGTAGACCATAATAGAATATAGGTACATGTATGGTATGAAGTTTTCTCTAGTTTGTTATGTTTGAAGAAGATAGGTACTGTCTGTTCCACAATGCCGTCGTAGTGTCGTCTTCTGTCTTGCCTTATGTTCCTGCGATCAAGCCGTCTTGTCGTCCGATTGTTCGAAGTGGTCTTGCCGTCTATACCTAGCATCCACTAGAGTCACCATCTTACTATGTGCCACAGTTACCGTCCACCGTCCTTGTCATCTGTTCTTGTCATTTTCATATTGTATATAGCAATGGATATACGTATAACTACTGGTGAGTTGATGGTGAGTTTTGACCTACACTTTCATTTATAGGGTTAATGTCAATATGTATAATGGTCTGCACTGGTGTCGCACTACTATTTCTACATTGATGGTGAGTTGTTGTATGCATTGAAGTCGCTGTTCCTTTTATGGGGTCAATATCAATATCTATAGTAGTATGCACTAGTGTTGTACTTCCATTTCTAAGGTCAATGTCAGTATTTACAGTGGTCTGCAGTGGGGTCGTACTTCCATTTATGGGGGTCAATGTTGGTATCTACAGATGCAGTATCCATAGCAATGCAATAGTTACTCCCCAACTCATTGGCGAAACCAGTAGAACCCATGTCATGTCCCTGTCTTTAAATAGCCAAATAATAATAGACCTTTTTACACGATTCCTAAACAAGAAGAGGCGTGCCACTTTCTTTTCATTAGGTAAATGAATATTTCTGGTAATTCAATCTGTGAGATGAGATAAAGTAGAGTCATATTTGAGTAATTTCGAAATCGCCCTAGACATTATTTTTGTCTAAAGTACCATCGTATAAAAGTGTCAGTAATACACAATTCACTGTTGCAAATGGGAGAGTTTGGAAGGATAAGACATAATCCATTAATCCATCGTTATATAGAAGAGCTTGAAAGAATGAAAAAGTGTCCACCTTGAGCAATATTGTCAATCAAATCAATTGATGGTGGCAGAGGAGAGAGCTTTCAACAAAAAATGAGAGATCACCTTGAGAAATATTAGTAATGAAATCAAATTGGTTAAAAAAAATTAACGTTAGTTAAAAATAAAGAGTTATAAAATAAAATATGGTAAACCCCTTAAATGCGCGAAAATTAATTAGTTCAAATCTCTGTTAGGTGGAAAAAAAATTTAAGAGCAAAATTGGAAAATCATCCATTTTTTAAATCTTCTAAAATTTAGCTTAGATACAAAATGTGATACTATTAAACCTTTATTAAAACGGAGGTCCAAATTTAGTGAATACCCAATTTTTCTAGGGGCGCTAAAATAAATAACGCGTTTTAAAAAATGGCCAAACATGAGATATTGCATAAATGGTTAAATCACATTTTTTAAAAAATACTAAATAAATATTTTAGACCAATATACCCGTAACAAAAATTAGGTATACAAGCTAAATTTTAGGGATTTATTTGATAGAATGAATAGGAAGGAAATCAACTGTATCTAATAAAAAAATTGACAAATCAAATTTAAAACATTTAAAATTGATACTCTATATTTTAAAAGGATATATTGAAAATAGATTTTAAAATTATAAAAATATTGTTAAGGTTGATTTCTAAAATTCCTAAATCAGAAGGGTAAATATGAATATTTCTAGGAAAATTTATGAAAACTTAGGATCCTAACCTTGTGTTTGAAAAAGTTGGATTTAGGGTTTGTATGGTAGCAACTATCAACCCTTCCTTTTTGCCCCACATCCCCATCTCTCCTCCAACTTACATCTTCACTTATAGTCCTCCACCGTCCCACTCAAGTCATTGGTCAACATGTTCCAATCTGTTGCCTCCGTCTGATACCGATCAGTTCCGTCCTATTCCGGTTAGTTTCTCCCCATTTTGTTAAGCACTCTGGTCGTCGGTGTATGACTTGTCGCCCAATTCTGATACACTCGTTGCCCCCCAACATTCTGCACGTCGTCGCCATTGAGATCTACCCCACATCAACCGACAGTCCACTGTCGTCTAGTTGCCTCTTCAACAGCTTAGTATTTTGTTTTGATTCTGAGACTTTGAATGATGGAAAACGAAGAAAGGAAGGGTTTAAAAGCTTGTTATTTGCCTTCCCGTAATTTAGGGAGAATTTAAAAATAAAACTTGTTTTTTGCCTCCTGTAATTTAGGAATAATTTTAAAATAAAAAATATATGTGGGACCGACCACATGAATGTGTCGTTTAAAATCAAATTTGAGAAGGATATCTATGTAAGTCCAACTACTTTATATATACATGTTATTGGTGACCTTCTAATTTTAATATTTATTCAATTAGTATATACATGTATTGACCTCCTAATTTTGATATTTCTTCGATTAGTATATTTATGTATTGACCTCCTAATTTTTATAATGAATTGCATTGTGATATACATGTATTGACATCCTAATTTTGATATATACATATACTGACCTCTTAATTTTGATAATTGAGTTGCATTCTAAGTTGCATTATGATATGTACATGTATTGACRTCCTAGTTTTGATAATTCTTGAATTGATACTTACATGTATTCACTTTCTAATTTTAGTAATTAAGTTGCATAGTGATATATACACATATTTCTAAATTTAATAATTCTTCCATTGGTATATACATTTATTGACCTTCTAATTTTGATAATTGAGTTGTGTATTGTCTGTCTAAGTTTAATAATTATTCAATTGGTAAATACATTTATTGACATTCGATTTTTAATAATTCATCAAATGTTTAAAAGATGACAGAAAATTTGATGAGAATGAGAGGGTGAATTATGAGTCTACAAATGAAGAAAAGAGAAATAAATCAACGTCAAAATAATATTAAAAAACTTAATCTTAGAAGAAGATACAGTAGAACAATACCATGAGATGTGAGACAGTAGAACAATGACAAATCATTTAAATTAACTGAAATTCAAAACATAATAATTAATGGAAAAAGGTATTGTTGGAAAATCACCATATTTTGTAAGACTCCTAAAATGCCCTTAGCCATTTAACCATTTGTACAAAATTTAAAATTAATGGCTATTTTTTGGTGGTTGCCAAAATTTAGCCATTCACTCAAATTACCCAATTTTCTATAGGGACAACTGCATAAATGGCCAAAATAAATAAGTCGTTTTAAAAAATGGCTAAACATATTAAATATTAAATAAATGGCTAAATGACGTTTTTTTTAGAATCCTAAATATTATTTTAGACAAATATACCCTTATTATATGTGCTTAACTTTTTATGTGGTACAACAACCTGCAAAAACAACGCATCCTTAGGAATCAATTTTAAATAATCAAATTTAAACCACTAAAATCTAATTTACAAATTGAAAGTAAATAAATAAAAATTTATTCAAAATTTGACTAATGTTTAAAAGTTATAAATTTCTATGTTAAAATCTAAAATCTAAAATTTAAAATTTCTAGGTGGGAGGGGTAAATATATTTAATGGGTCCATACGTAGTAGTCCGCACTGGGTCAATGTCAGTATCTATAGTAGTCTACACTTCCATTTGTAGGGTAAAGGTCGACATCTACAGTAGTCTGTACTGTTGCATTTTTATTTTGGGATAAATGTTGGTATCGACAAAGGCAATACCTATAATGTCTATCACAACTAACTTGTTCCTATGATTGTGAGCACAATCGTGACCTTTAATAAAGAACTTGAGGGGAAAGTAGCTTCAGGGGCTAAGTTGCAAACTCCAAGAATGGGAAGGAGGGGGAGAGAAGCAAACATAAATAAAATTGAATAAGACTAAAAATGTAAAATTACAAATATATCTTTTAGCTATTTTTACAAAATTATAAATAAATGGACATTTTATTAAGTCACTGTCATAATTTAGCCACCTAGTTAAAATTCCCTTTTCTATATCCAATGTCACTCCAACTAAAACTTTTATTGATTGTGCTTGTAGTTAAAAGAAGAAGAAGGAAAAAGAAAAGAAAAAAAAAAACTAATTTGAGTAAGAGAAATCTACGACCGCAAGGATAAGGTTGGGCCTAAAATAGCAACATAAACCCAACCCAACCCAACCGTCTTTTTAACTCACAATGACATCATCATCTTAAAACCAAACTATACGGATAAAGGACAAAATTCAATTTTCCTCTTCCAACTCCAGTTTGCAAACACGCCATGCTACGGTTGTTGTGGCTGGCACTCCTCGTTGTTCCGTGGACGAAACAATTATGCGGCCAAAGAAACAAATGAAGA